CTGCCTCAACTATAAGTTTGAAATTTGCCCAATTCAGCCTGCTTCGGGAAGTATTTGCCCGAAATTCTAGTTGACCCGAAGCCTCTGGCTCTTTCCGTTTCTACGTATGATTCAGTAGAATTATATGGCCGGAGCATTTCGTGTCAGAAAACGACTGCAGATAGCTCTTTTATCGAGAGCGTCGTGATTTACATGCTCGCCAAAAAATACTTATCGAATGAACTGAATGAGGATATTCAACAGTTGAAAGATATTTTAGTTCAAGAATTAGATGTTCCAATTTCAATAGATAGATTATGGCTGGGAAGAGCTGCTAAAAAACTAATCACACTCCGAGAAAAACCAATGAATGTTGATAAGTATCTATCGGAAATGTTCAGAAAATCACTTTCAGCAAGTGGAAAAATTCCCACCAAAAAATTAGATCAAATCGACCCGAAGAAGTTAATACAAGAAAGCGAAATGATTGAGGTTCAAAAAGGCAAAATCATCAGTTTTTCAACTGGGAAAAAAGTACCTCACGAGATTATAAAATCAGGCTGCGAGCTTTATGGGCTTTATTGTATTGTAAAAGTGGTTGAAAATCCGCCATTTGAAGACTACGGCGAATTGTTAACCGCTAAATATTTTCTCGATTCAATTTATTCAGACAAAGATTTCAAAGAAAAAGTTCCCGAAAATGTTGTCAAGTTTTTTGAGGGCTGCGCGGGCGCTCAACTAATGCCTGTGGGCTGGGAAGTGTTCTGTAAACGGCAAATTAAAAGTGAATTTGAACTTTTCGAGGGCAAGTTCTGTGCTTCGTCTATAATTGATTATGGGTTGGGGGAAATGCAAAATGGGGGAGTTTTACTTTTCTGGCAGAGAGAACTGGCCACTCGGATTGAAGATGAAACGCCTTTTGTGTACTATCTGACCTGTCAACTGTCCAGTGTATTCTCTCTAGACCAAATAGACTTCTTGATCTGTAGCGAAAAAATTTGCAGTTGAGGAGAATATATTATCACCAGCGGATTTAGGGGGGGGGGGGAGCAGCACGGGAGACGGACGCCCCCTCTTCTCAGGAGTTCGACCCCCTGCCCAGGGATTTCACCCCCTGAACTATTTTGAGATGTCCCTAGGGGGGAGCGCACCGAAAAAATGCAATTTTTTGGTCAAAATTTTCAAAAAAGTGCCTAAATACGCCTTTTTTGGCTAGTTTTTTTTCAAAAATTTGCCTGCGGCACAGAAAATGTGGTCAAAATGGCGTCTTTATAGTGATTTGGAAGAGCTCAGAAAATCAATTTGGTCGCCCGAAAAAAAAGTCGACAAAATTTTCGAATTTTTTGTTAGAAAATCCGCCACCCCCCCCCCCCCCCCCCCCCACCCCCCATCGAGAAAATCCTAGATCCGCCACTGTATATTATTATATAATAAATATTTAGCCTCTACTCTGATTACATAATCTAAGATATGTACCCAATTTCCTCTTCAAACTGATTGAATGAGATAATAACTTTAACACATAAGCCATTGCAAGATTGAATGCTAAGCTCATCGAAAAATAAATGGCACATCCAGTTTCCGGTGACATTTCAAGTATTTCAAACCGAATTTTTTCATTGTTACAGTCACTGGAGATAGAAGTTGCCAATTTATATTTTTCAGCCGACTAAACGAACGACAATTTTTTTCACGGTTGCGCCGGTTGAGAGGTTGAGCCGTGACTGAGTGTAAAATACCTGAAAATGGTTTTTTATCTCTACATCACAATTCAAGGAGGTGTGTCTTTTGTAGCCGTCATTAAAAAGAAAAGCTTTAAAGAAAAAGTGTTATAAAAAAATCCACAGATCAGTTTTCTTTTCAATTATTGATAGTGTCATAATGGAGTAAAATTTGATCATGAAACACAATAAACAGTAGTACTTGTATCAATCTGTAACCTCTATGAAGTAATTTTTGTTAACAATTATTTTTTTTAAATATTATTTCCATACGCAATTTTTTTGTACCAAGTGACCAAACTATTTCGGCTTATTTTCTATCGGCTTAACTACCTAATTTTGGGTCCTTTCAAGGAAATCAAAGTTTTAACTCTCCCCTTCGTACTTATCAAGTTGGTTGTATGTTTACCAATCGGTTTGTTGAAATTTCTTTTTTTTGTGGAAAAGTATTTCCAAATTTATTGGAAAAATTTAGCTTTTCTCAGAAATTTCTACTGATTTTCAAAAAAAGGGTATCAATTGAAAAATCGTTTACTTCCCGTAGGTCTGCATACTCCTTCAAAGTTTCTTGTTTTTTAACTCCTCTGTCTACAGCCTTCGAAAAAGTCTGTGGGGGAATATTTGACCCATATTTTTGATTTTTTTTTTCGTTTTCTCGAAAACTAGCCCTCTCAAATCTAAGTTTTTTTTTCAATGAATGAAAACAGTTCTGGGGGTATCCGTTCCAACAGTGAGCTAGTTAGAACTGTTTGGTTCATTGAAGCCAAAAACTGGCATTTGAGAGGGGTAGTTTTTGAGAAAACGACATTTGTTTGCCCATTAACTATGGCCCTCGGAATAGTCAAACGTTTTTAATTTTGTCAAAAACTGACTTCTCAAATCTGATATTATGGGTTCAATGGAGATAACGGGTAGTATGAAGCTCTCCTACAATAGCAGCCATTCAGAAAACTTTTTGCACAATAAGTTTTTTGCTCTCGGAAAAGTCAAGTTTTTGATTTTTGACCGTTTTCTAAACTTGTCGAATATTCTCGATAAAAACCTTCTAGTAATCTCAAATATCCATTATTTTGGGTCGAGTTTCAACAAAAAGCTGCGGGAGGCTCATTTGCTTATGCGATTACGCCCAATTTTTTCTGAAATCATAAGTTATGTCTCTCGGATAAACCAAACTTTTGAATTTTTGACCATTTAGTTTTAAAAACTTTTGACTTTCTTGAGAACTACCCTCCAAAATCTTAGGTTTTGGGCTTATCGAAATTGCAGATTATGTGAATATTTTGTCTGCATACGAGGCTACGCCTTATTTTCACAAAAAAAACTATGACTCTCGGAAATGTCAAAATTAAGTTGACAGTTTTTCGGATCTTTCTCGGTATCCTGCAAAATCTGATATCATAGATTTAATTGAAACAGCAGTTTGTGGAAAAATTAACTTTGTAATTGGAAGGGCCCAGTTTTTTTAGTAAATTGTGGCCTTTAATTCATTCAAAGTTTTGAAACTTTGACAGTTTTTTGGAAACTTTTTGTCTTCGCGAAAACTACCGTGTCAATTCTCAGGTTGTGTTCAACCAAAAAATCCGGTTTTGGGAATTTTCTCCGCTTAAACTGCTACAACTTGCTTTTTGCAAAAAATATGAATTCTGGAAAGTCTTTTGACCGTTTTTCAGAACTTTTGACCGTTTTTCAGACTTTTTTTTAAAAAAGTTTTCTTAAATATTACGCAATCAAGTCTGAGATAAAAAATTCAAGTAAAGGAAATAGTTGCGAAAATTATTCCTGCAGAAGCAGCGACTCCTCAATGTTTTGTATGAGAAAAGTTATCTTCTTGGGAAAACTGATTTCTCAAATTTTTTTGCTTCTCAAATCACTTATTTTTGAAATAGTCGAATTTTTGAAATCACATTTTTCGTGCCGCATCAGTATAGCGAATTTCGTGAATATCAAAAACGTAATTCTAGTTTTAACTGGGCACTTAGTTGTATTTTATCGAAAAACTTTGGTTGATCTAGTTTTTTTCAACTTTTTTTTCAACTTCTGTTTTTTTATGGCGTATAGTATCGCAAGTGGTGCAAAGCTCCGCTTCGCCTCTGTTCTCAAAATATCTCAAAAATGGTTAGTTCAAAATCGAAAACGATCTGAATAAACAAATGACAACAAACACAAACATTTTCTCGCTTTTTGAATTTCGGAAGAAAAACAACACAGCCCAAATTTTTGGTCAGTTTTTTCGAAAATTGGAGAAATAGTTTTTGAAACGAAGTAGCGTGCCACAAATCTATTCAGAAAAGTTTTAACCAACGAATACTCGCTGCGTACACGTATTAATAATTAAGGAAAATTAGAGCAAATGCACCTGTTGGTCAATTTGTAAAGTTTTATTATATTCTGCTCGAAACCCTTTTACCAAAAGTCACACCTCTAAAAGGCGTCAAAGAAAAATTCGTTTTTGGTGACTTCACAATTTTGTCACAATTTTATTGATAAGAGTTCTAAAGGTTCGATTGGAACGGAGAGTTTTATTTAGCTCAAAAACATCTTTTTAACGACATCAACTTGTCTACTTCAATTTTGCTCTCTTCCAAAATGCGTTCCTAATTTTTGTCTAACCTTCGAAACCGCAGCTTGTGTTTTAAAACTTAACAAAAAATGGAAGGCTTCTAACAAATTTTTATCAAATGTGCGCTAGCTTGGTGAGCGCTCTACAAGCAGACAGCCCACCTCACACCGTCGCTAATAAATTTTATTGGCTGAGAATTCAAATGACCCGCAGTTTCACTCATAAGAGAGAGTTCAAATAGAAAAAAAAACATTTGCAGCATAATGTGATAAACGTTAATGGCCTTTTGGGATATGCCTTACTAACCAAACGGCGACGCTTATAAATTTCGCTCAATTTCTCGAAAAAATTATTTTTGAAAACTCTTTCAGCCTTAAATCAAACCTTAAATCCAACTCTGATGCGTCAAAAATTTTATCTCAACATTAACTAATCTGCCAAAGTGTATATGTATAGGCACCAAAAAGCGCCCAATTGTAGTGCCCAAAGAGCACCCAATAAAAGAAAAGGACACTCGTGTAGGTCAATTAGATAGATTAATGGATGACGTAAATTGTACTAAAACAGTACAAACCAGCACTGGGGGGGGGGGGGGGGGGGGTAGGACTGTAACATTTTAGTATACTTTTTATTGTTACATCAGAGGGAAACTTTAAATGTTCTCTAACGGGAAAACACACCATATGCTAGCTATTTAAAAATTGATAATCTGTAACAATTTTATTGCAGTTTTTGCCGATTGACGCAGCCGATGTCTAATGAGAGTGGTCTTGGAACTATTGGAGAGCATTAAATTTTAAGATCAAGATTCCCGATGAGCTAACCTCAAGAGAGTTGCTCAATCTTTACCTTAGTTAAAAGATTGTAAATTTATATTTTGGGTCTATTATTTTTTGAGCCTATCATATCCTTGATTTACGGTAAAAATTTCCCAACTAATACAAATTTAGAAATAATATTTTATTGGGAGCCTTGCTTAGAAACAAAAGCAAAATAAAAACAAAGTTCATCTGTATTTTATATATACTTTTCTGTTCTGTAAAAATATGGGCAAAATTGGAACCCTTAATATGTTGCTGGTTGCTTTTTTATTCAGCATAAGCTTGTCAACCTCAAAAGGTAAGATTGTAATTTGGGCTTTCGGCAATATTAATTTAAAAAAACTTTTGAAAAAAATCGGCGAGAATTTGTCTTCAATTATGGTTGCCAATTTGACAGTACCAATTCACTCTTTCCGTTTTGCGAAAAATGACTCCAAAAAGAAGACGAAATGAACAAAGTTATTTATGCTCAAAAAAATTATTTTTTGTTCTAACTTATCAAAACAGTGCTCGAAAAGGCCATTATCAAAAAAATGAGGGCAAAAAATAGCCAAAATATTTTGCAGGAGTGATAAAAACCACGCTTCAAAGTTTTCACCATGTGTTATTTTGTAACCATTTATGCAATAAAAATCAGCTAAATGTAACACAGTTGCTTCACTGCAATGCAACTTTTTTAAAAATTAAATTTCGAAAAAATTCTCCAGATTTCAAACGGAGTGCTGTGCATACATTTTTTTTTTAAACGGCGTTCATTTTTTGTTTGCAGAATGAAAGATTTTTGGGTGAATGGGGGCTGTTTGATCATGAGCATCAAACTACAGAGCTATTATTTTTTTCTACGAGCTCTCCTAAAGCATTCAAACCCTATTTGACTTTGTTTATGGCATTGCCAAGTTTCTGAAAATAAAAAACAACAATTGCTTTTGTGTTGGAGTGGAAAGTTTTTAAATCTGAGTACTTTTCGGTCCCCAAGGCCTTTCTTTCATTCTGCAAACAAAAAATGAACGCCGTTTTAAAAAAAAATGTATGCACAGCACTCCGTTTGAAATCTGGAGAATTTTTTCGAAATTTAATTTTTAAAAAAGTTGCATTGCAGTGAAGCAACTGTGTTACATTTAGCTGATTTTTATTGCATAAATGGTTACAAAATAACACATGGTGAAAACTTTGAAGCGTGGTTTTTATCACTCCTGCAAAATATTTTGGCTATTTTTTGCCCTCATTTTTTTGATAATGGCCTTTTCGAGCACTGTTTTGATAAGACGAATTCAACCCTCTAACCAGACCAGCTAAAGATGCTTTCCTCTGGTGATAGTTTACGACTGACCGACCTTAAATCTCAAGATGACCGATCTTAAATTCTTGTTGCAAGGACTAAATGCGTAAGGTCACGATGTAAAGTAAGAAAATTAAATCTGATCCCATAATTTTAGTCGTTCAACCTGCAAAAAATTATTAGATTATGACTTTATGATTACGTTAAACTAGTTCTTCCAGACTAAATTTTGAATGTGGGTTGGAAAAAAACCATAAATTTTTCCTTATAATATCGTTGAATTATATTGATGATACCATAACAATTTTAAATAAACAATTCTATAGCTAGCAATCTATAAAATTAGCAAACAGTGTGCATACAGAAGCCGACAAAGCGTGTATTCAAGTATTATGCCGAAAATATTCAACGTTTTTTTCTTTCTGGACAGTACACAATTGTTCATTTTTCTTTTATTTAGCTGCTGAAAAGATTCAGCAAAACTTGCTAAGCGTCTACCCACTCCAAGTGTGAGATTGTCTGATTGAAGATAAAAAAAGTTCCCCTTCCCCTTATGTTTTTTTCAAAAACCTTCCGGCAAATGGAAACTCTTTATGGTTTTTCTGCTGAGACCTAGAAAAACTGGTTTATTCTGCTGGGGCCTAATTAAAGCTTAAACTTTTTATAAGAAGTTAAAAATTTTTATACTTTATACGCTTATATGGAAAAAATACAAAAAAAACTAAAACGCACCCAAACACAATTTTCCTCCCCATTTGCAATGGTCGGAACAGCAATCTTTGAAGTGAATTAATCACCTTTTTTCTACAACTTCGCTCAAACATTGTTTGAATGTTTGAAAACTATTTTCTACAACTTCGCTCAGACCGACTGAAAAGGCTTCTGTTTGATTCATCATTTGACGCATTCTAATGATTTTTTGAGGTACATGATTTTGCTTGGAAAAAATACAAAAAAACTTAAACGCACCCAAATACAATTTTCCTCCCCATTTGCAATGGTCGGAACAGCAATCTTTGAAGTGAATTAATCACCTTTTTTCTACAGCTTCGCTCAAACATTGTAAAAAATTAAATACCTCATTTTGGGCAGTGTCGAATAATATCTTATGATAAGAAACTTAACTTTTCTATAGTAAAACATTCTATAGCTCATCTGACAACTTGCAATCTATAAAACTGGCAAACAGTTTTTACACAAAAACCGGCAGAGTGGGTAAAAAAAAACATTATTCAAATAGACTGCCAAAACTGTTCAAATACTTTTTTATCTTCTAAAAAGTACACAATTGCTCGTATCAGTAGTTTTAGAGTTAAAGAGTTCTTTTCTATGGAAATTTTACAGCATAATTAGCATGTATGAAGCAAATAGGCATATGGTTTTATGATAAGCCTAGCATTGGCCTAAAACCTTGGGCAACTGTCATTTCTTGGTCTCTATTCTATCTTTTTAGGTTCGATAAACATTTAATAACAACCGTTCATTGCTTTTTCACAGCTGACTTCAACTACGACGCTGTGGAGAGTGACCCAGCCGCTCTGGAGGCCAAACGAGGTGCGGCCAGCTGGTGGAACTACCGACTGTGCGCTGGGGGGTGCAGGGGAAAGAGGGGGTCAGTTTGGAGCAGAATGGCCCGATTATCTGACTCATCAGAGACCGAACGCCCTCTAAAACGATAACTCATTATTATAACTCATTTCTCTTATGCGTGATTTCATCAAGACAATCAAATAAGTGTCCAAGTTGTTTAAATTGAATGACGGAAAGTATCAAATGTTTTAAGATGAATCAAGCCTTTTTAAATCAAAACCAACCCAGTTCGAACTGGTCGAAATATGATCAGACTGAATTAGGTCGAACAGCGAATTTCGTTTGAATCAGGGTCGAATCAAGCTCGAACTAGGGTCGAATTAGGATCAAAAACCAACAAATGCCTACAAACCTGCTTGAAGTTGCTTAAAACATTGGTTTGAAGCTGCTCTCAAGTGGCGGTAGCTAGCGGAAGGGTCAGGATTTTTGTGCACGAATTAAAATGCTTCACCTTACGGATAGCTACCTGCGAGCTAACAGGGGAAAAACTGAATACAAAACAACCGCACTAGACGGCACTAAACAAAAATAAAAAGTTTTTTTGTTGCTTCTCCAAATTTTTGATATTGTTTTCCTGAGTCAGAGTTATTTTTACCTTTAAATAGTCGTGAACCCCTAGCAACTCTAAAACTTTCTTTCTGTATATTCAGCATCAGCATTTTCCTGAGCAGGCTTAGAGTTTTTAAATCAAGATTATCCATCTATTATCTGAGATATCAAATACAAAAAATTTCAAAACTTTATTTAGTTCAAAACTTTAATTTAAAAAATCGAGGGCATAACTTCACACAGTGAGTACCCGCCACCAAAGTAGTCGTTATCGTCTTTTGACTAAAAGCATAAAACTACTCCAACAGCTAATGGAAAAAATGAGGAAGCAAAAAAATATAATTATTATAATAAATTGTTTGCAAATTAGATTCCATTCATTGTAAAAGTTACTACAATTACAACCAAACGAAATCTCATTGAGAGAATGCCGTGGAACTATGCAGCCCGTTTTCAGGCGCCTCTGATCCTGCTATGACTTCTGTTATTTTTCAATATCGATAGTTAACCAAGAAACAAAAAAAAAGATTTAAAGATTTAAAGAGGAAAAAAATTTGAAGCGAAAAAAGGAAAAATTTCAGCAGTATACCAACCTTTCACAGCAAATCTTTTTTTAAAATACTATTTCCACTCAAAAATGAGTTTAAGCAGTTGATATTTTCCTAGAATAAAATTGTCCAAAAACTCATGGTTGAAGATTTGTAATTGATTTTGTGGGCAGCTCTGAATCTTAGTTACAAAATGTGAGTAGTGTTTTAGAACAAAGTCGAAAAGTGTTCTAATTCTAACTTTTACAGAAATTTTTTGTAAACCCTTTGATTGCACAGGTGTCTGCCTAGCTAAAACTCTCTTATTCGAAATTGTATTTAACTTTTTCTCAGTTCTCAGTTCTCAGCTTCCTGGACAATGGCCGATATGCACTCTTTTCTCAAAACCTTACAGAGTGACTTTAATAATTCATAGACATGTAATTCCTTTACGAAGTATTTTTTGCGTTTTTCTTTCAGTTCTTCAATGCTTTCATTTCTTCTCTTAAAACAATTAATTTTTATTAGCCGTTTAATTTTAAGTTCAATTGTTTCTAATTTCGTTTTTTCTGTCGACGCATAAGCCAAAGCCCCATGCTGTAAAATGGGTTTCACATAAGTGTTATATGCTTTCAGTAGTTGATCTTTACCTAAGACTTTCCTCAACCTGTAATACATCCCACAAAACCTCGACAATTTATTTTCATTTTTTGTAATATGATCAGTAAAGTTTAGAGTCAATTTGAACACCTAAGTATCGGAACGACTGTTTTTCTTCAATAATTATTCCATTCAGTTTGACATCTGATTTTCCGTCGCTCTTCTTAGATAATATAATTGTTTTTTTAATCTTCTTTTAAGGTCAGCTTGTTTTTTTCTAGCCAACTTGCTGTTTTGTCCAACGCTTCTTGTTTTTTACCGATTAAATCACTACTTCTAGCAGTTTTTTTATGACAGTGTCGTCTGCATATAAAATCAGATTACTTTCACTATTTTCTTTTAGCTCAATATCATTTATATAAATGATGAAAAGAAGCGGGCCTAGAATGGATCCCTGTGGTACTCCATAGTTCACATTTTTATTTTGAGAGCGTTTGGTTTTAGTGGCAGCGTATTGTTGTCGGTTTTTTAATTAAGATTTTATAAGATCAAAAACAGGTCCCGAAAACCATATACGTCACATTTCTCAAGTAAAGGAATGTGGTCAACTGTATCAAAGGCTTTCTTAAGGTCAATGAAAGTGCACTGTGTCTTCGTGATACTAAAGTTCCAATCTTGACGCACTTCTTCTATTAGGGTTATCAAAGCATCAATTGTACTTTTTTTTTATCTGAACCCAAACGGGCAATTTTTTTAGTAACTGATAGTTAGTGAGATATTCGTTCATTCTGTTATAAATGACTCGCTCAAAAATTCACCTACAATTGGTAAAAGAGAAATTGGCCTGTAATTTGATGGGTCTAGATCATTGCCTTCATTCAAGAGAGGTTTAACATTGGCAATTTTGAAACTGTCTGGAAAACTTGTCTATCCAAACCTTCTTGTAAAAATTTTGTCAAAACTGGAAACAAAACCAGAAAATTTTTTTTTCAAGTAGTAGTGATTACTTTCATATGTATCCAAACTAAACTTGGTTTTTAGCGATTCGATTATATTTGAAATTTCCTTTTGCATTATGTCAGCAAAAAAACATTGAGTTAATTTGCTTTCTGACTCTCAATTATTTTAGAGTATTAAAATTCCTCGCCAATTTTTCTCCAAAATTTGCAAAGAAGTCGTTAATTCCATCAACATTTCTGTTTTTTTCTTCCTGGTCGTTGTTTTTGGTAGCACATGTTAGGTCAATAAACAAACGGAAAAATACTCTGCTGTTGTTGTTGGATTCCAAACGTAATTTGTTTTGATAAAATGCTTTTTTTCTGACTCAGAATTTTGCGAACTATTTTGCTTTGAGATTTAAATGTACTTCTGGCTTCGGTGGTTCCAGTTTTTTTTAAAAAATTTCCTAAACCGGTGTTTTTTCGGTGCTGCATTTTTCAATTCATTATCAACCTTGTGCTTTAAAGCTTTTCTAATTGATGTTTTTTTTGTTCTGGTAGAAATGATTCAAAGTTATTTCTGAGTTTATCGCTTAACAATTAAAAAAAAGCTCATCGCAATTAAATTTGCTAATTTTTTTCAACATCAAATAAATTTTCATATAAAGACTCATTTAGTTGTTTCAGAAAATATTCCGATTCAAGTTTGTACCATGGTCGGGTTTTGGTGATAAAAGTTTCATTTTTGCATTTTTGTGATGTTGCGTCTAAAATTACTCCATAATGAACAATTACCGATGTTTTGAAAATGGTTACTGTTTTTTTACATTGGAAAAAAATAGATCTATACACGTCCTACTGGTCTTAGTTTTTCTGGTAGCTTGTTTTCCATTTTATAGGAAAAGATCGTTTCAATTTAATATACTTATAAGTTCAGAGAGTCGTTTACTCTTTCTTAAAACATTCACTTAAAAAATATTTTGAGTAAATGCATATAACCCAAGACCAGGCACGGATGCACGATTTTCGAAATTTGAAAAAATTCGATTTTCGTAAACATGAAAAATCTGAGCTTTAATTTTTCGATCTTTCTTAAATTACATGAAAACAATTTGAAAAAGCCAAAGACGACAGTTTGGGACGTTTTCGGAAAGTTTTGGCCAAACAATCGCGTTTCTTGGCGTGGGTTCCGCTCTCCAATTTAGTATTTTGACAACGAAGGCAGCGCTTTCAGAAAAAAATGACGTTTGGTCGACTAAAAGCAACCAAAATGACCAAACCAGAAGTCATAATTTGAGCAAACACCATGTTGTGCACAGGCTGAAAGTTGAATGCAGTCGAAACCTGAAGTCGTCTGATATGAGCTCAAACTTGAAATGCCTAATGAAATTGTGAAAAAATTTCGAGTTAACGCAAACAGTGAGCCAGCTAGCTAGAAAAACTTTGAGATCTAAAGGCTCCTCGCGCGTAAAAATGTAATTTCAAGGGAACTCTTCTCAAAATTTTAATAGCTGTTTCAAAATAACTCGAAACAATGAAATTTGCAGGTTTTAAAATTTGAAAAAAGATTAGCACAATTTAAATCCAAAATTAAGTATATTTTATATTGTCTACAATTTATACAATTTATAACCAAAACAGATATATTTGTTACCACGAAAAAAATTTTTTAGTTCAGTAATGCAGTCGGATCAAACTTCATGCTCCTTTCATCATTTCACAGCTAACTTTATTTAAAAAAATAAGGAAGGTTAAATTCTGTAACAAAAAAGTACTAACAAGTCACAACCACGATCCATCAAATTACACCCAGATTTAGGATTCCAAGATTAGGTTTGTCTCAAAATTGTATGCCACAGTTTTATGCACAGAATGTTCCGACCATGGTCTTAACAAAACTAGGCTTAGAACGTTTTTTTTTTCAAATGAGTGTAGTTTTTTCTGCTTGGTGTGATATAAGAATCTGACGTAAAATTATAACTTAGGCATATTAGGCAGTCATAGTAATATATAGACAAAAATTGGACAATTTGGTCAAAAAATTTGGACAATTTGGACAATTTGCAAAAAATTTTGAAGTTTTTTTAAAAGTTTTTCTAGTCAATTTTTTTGACCAAATTGTCCAATTTTTGTCCAGTTTGTCTACATCTTACTACGACTGCCTAATATGCCTAATTAAGCTAAAAAACCTCAAAAACTAGTTTTACTTGCTTAAAATAAGGTTTTAAGGTCTTAAATTAGGCATACTTCAGCTGTTGTAAGCCTACTCACTTGGTTAATTCGCTCGAAATGAGACAAAACAATGAAAAAATTCAAACCGATTTTTCTTGACACTGGGAAAATTTTTAGAATTTTTTTAAATATGGTTCTTATTACGACCGAAAGAGCTCTAATATAATAAATCACTCAACTCAGACCGATTATTTTTTGCGATACCAGATTTTGCGAGGTAAACAAAAAGAAAAAAAAACTAAAATACTCCCGAAAATAAAGCTCCATCCCATTTTCGATGAACAATAAATTTTTTAATTGAACAATATAGTACCGCAGTTCTTTTTGGCCGGAAATAG